ACAGTTGGCCAGTGTTCCTGCTGCCTGTGGGTGTCTTATCAAACCCTTTTTGTACAAAAACATCTGAGGAATTTCTTGGTTAATTATGTATTGTTTTGTAACTTTGTTTTGCATTTAATGATTGGCATTAGTTCACTTACACACACTTAAACACAAATCACAAACTATTTCATAAATAGCAAGGGTGTTTACAGGGCCAATATACTATCATTACCTATATGCAGTAGCTCGAGGTAGCAATATTTTAAATTATATCAGGACACAGTGGGAGAGACCAGGAGCCAGCTGCACCAGCTGTATAGAAGTGGAAATTTGAGGAATTATAATGGGTTACATCACACAAACTCGTTCTGACATAGAAATGAGTCCTTACTAAATATTAACACCCAGTAATTTCCAGGTCAAATTGTTACATAGCTAACTGAACCAACTGACAAAACCAACGTTAGCTTGCTAAAACATGATTATACTTAAGAGTAGAAAAGGTAATTCAGTACGGTCAACTCAATTGACCTAACACTTCATAAAATAATGACATAAACTGGGAAGATATAAAATTACATGAAAAGAAATACTTTTTATTTGCTTGCAATAAAATCCTTTTTGATTTTGTCTCAATACATCAAAGGCCACGTGTCATAAAATCAAGGTTACTCTGACCCAGCTTTGATGTCAACAAATGCAGACCCACAATCAGATTAGGACAATGTATTCATTAGGGAAGAGCTTTTACTCTATTTGTCAGTTTCAGAAATCATATTACCTGACAGCAATTACTCAACAGCAATGATGTTATCCAGACATTTGAAGCAATTCTCATTAATTATATAATTATATGTTAAGAAAAAGTTAAGTTGTAAGTTCTTTTATATTCTCTCTTTTTCTTCGTTCAGTATAACATCACCCTAAAAGACCTTTACTTCCTATATATGGCTCATTTGTGTTTCTGTTGACGTTTGTTGATGAACAAACCGGAAAAATGCATATGGCATGTAACTGGAAGATCTTCAAACTACATTGAACCTTTTAGTTAAGGATAAGAGGAAATCCATTTTGCTTCTGTATGCATGAGGACTTCCAATCAGGCTGATTACATCCCAGACAAATACAGATGAGAGCAAGACACCTGGATTTATTTTTCACCAAGTAATCAAGCAAAGCATCCAGTGATATATAAAAACATGAAATCATGAGGATGTGTCTGTTTCAGGCCTGTAATTCACCATCTGTCCTTGTCTGCGACTGGTGAAAACAAACACTGTGATTCTTGTGGAGTTTTGTTTCCAGTCAATAACTGAGGATATCGTGATTTCTACTTTTGAGGAGAGGAAATATGACCCCATACATCTTTCTAAGCAATAAGCATACGTTTCCCTCAACATAGATACAGAGATGATAAACAACTCCCCCTTTCCCTGAGTTACTGTGATGGATAATCCATGCTGTTTTAGGCCCATTACCTCGACTCAGGCCTGGCTATTTCCATGACAACGAGTTACTGTATCTCTGTCGAAATCGGTCCAGGCTCTAAGCTAATGGGTTATTATTATATGACTGACGATGTTGAGTCATTTTCTCTGCCTTGGGCTGATCTCCCTGATAAGCAATCATATTGTTGATTCTGCCAGCACCCTCCCCAATGCACACACACACAGGCACCCCACCCCACACACCCCTGCAGTCAGAAACGCCAGCAGGAGTCCTGGGTCAGGATGGATTGCACCCAGTCCTTCCGGATACATGTTCACAAGCGATTTGATTTCTCTGGCAATCACTGCATTGTTGTATTGCAGCATCAAATCTGATCATCGTTATGCAGGGTTGCTGTGGCTCAATGAATTGCCATGTGACAAACTATGACTCTAGAAATTGTCAGTGGAGAAATTCAGCACCATATGGTGACACTGACACCGAAGCTGTTTTTCCATATCTCTCTGAAGCTTTGAGTCATTTTAAATGGCATGTTGAATGGTTCTACACCCTGAGAGAGCAGAGCAGAGTATTACAGTTCTTGGTTAAAATGACAAACATGAAGAACCATAGTATTGTTTAGATTTAGTTAAAGGAAAAACTGATTAACGGGAAACAGACTTTTATCCTGTCGTGTTTCAGCATCTTGAGCTGCAGGGTTTGAGCTGACACAGATCTCCGTTATGTCATTATAAAAAGCCTTTTATGTTGAAGTGGAACTGGGGTTGCCTGGAGTTCATCACCGAGGTCTACTTTTAGTTAAAGTTCACTTTCAAAGTCGTGGATTTTCGAAGACGTGAGTATTAATTCATCAGTCAACAGCATCAGCAGATTTGATTCCATGGCTCGCAGAAACCATGAGAAGGTTTCTTATGGGGCTCATGAGGGGAGGATGGTGTGAAAATTATTTATGATTTTATGATAGGGGACATTTTTCTCAGGCATAATACAGAAAGCGAAATTGAATAAATCATTAAAAGGCCAGTGGGATATTTTTTTGAGGTGTACACTACAACAGCAAACAAATTTCTGTCTTAGACAGACCTTGATTTAAACTTTGTACAAACTGCATTCCTTCTGAGAGTTATTTTGTGCAAAACTTGCTGATGTTATCTGTTGTCAATGTCCAGTATATTTAATTTAACTCTTGTCTCCAGGGCTAATAGAATTTATTTTATGAAATAATTTCTTCTTCATTTTTCTTAAGGTAAGTTCTGAGCACAAATTGATGTTGATTTGAATTGATATGCTTTTGATCACATTATCATAATCACCTAAAAATGATGAGCGGTGATTTGAAAACTTTTATAAAGTTTAAATCTCTAACTTATACCCTGACTTCGAAGTACTGTCGATTTCATTTTAAATGGATACGATTACCGTATCAATTAGCCCATCAATCTACACTCCGTCCATAATGACAAAGTAAAAAACATGTTTTTAGAAGTTTTTACAAAATTATTTAAAATGAAAAACTAAAATTTTCAAAAGCATTCAGACCCTTTGCTGTGGCGCTTCAGATTGTGGTCTGGTGCATCCAGCTTGCTTAAATTTTTCTTGAGACGTGTCTGGAACTTGATTACAGTTCACCTGTGGCAAACTGAATCGACAGAACATAATTTAGACAGACATGTACATAGTGTATGTAAGGTCCCATTTACTCTGCAGGTCAGGACAAAAACCAACCGATGAAGCCCAAGGACCTCTCTGTAGACCTCTGCAATGAAATGTGGCATGGCATAGATCAGAGTAAGGGTAGCCTATAAAATTAATTCGAAAGCTCTGGGTGTTCCCAGGAGCACAGTGGCCTCAATATGTTTGGAACCACCAGGACTCTTTTAGAGTTAACGAACAAGAATGACCTTAGGTCAGGGACAGAACCAAGAACCCAACAGTCACTCTGACAGAGCTTCAGGAGTCCTCTGCAGAATTGGGAGAACCTGCCGTAAGGATGACCATCTCAGCAGCACTCCATTAATCATCACTCTGCACCTAAAAGTGTTTCCCATACCATCAATCAGCTTACATAAAAGAGGTAGCAGAAACAATAATTGATAAAACACTTTAGTGTTTATTTATTATTATTCTTATTAATAAGAATATAAATGATAAGAATTAGAAAAGTAGCTGCTGCTTTGCATGTTTCAGTACCATGGAGGCAAGCGGTGAGAGAGCGAGAGAGAGCGAGAGAGAGAGAGAGAGAGAGCGAGTGATTCTGTGAGATTTTATGACAGTGAGCCAGCAAGTACAATACTAGGACCCTGACACTGAAGCAGCCAAATGGAATTCAACCACAATTAATTGAATTATTTACACCTGTGCTTTTGTAACATGTCAAAGTGTCGTTTGTGAAAAAAAGGCCTGCATCATGTAAAAATACTTGACAAAAAACAAAAGTACTGCATTTAAAATGATACTTAAGTAAAAGTACAGAGGTGATGTTGGCAAAAAGTACTGAAAGTGTAGGAAGTTTTTTGCCTTTAATTCAATAGTTGCAGTGAGAGAGAGACAGCAAAGTTGGCAAAGGGCCACGGGTCGGATTCAAACCCAGGCCGCTACAGTTACAACTAAGCCTTCATGGTACGCGCAATACCTACTACTTTAATCTACTTTTGTTATTAATGAATATTTTAGAAGATTTGTTTAAACTAAAATTAAAGGAAAAGTGTAAGAAATATTTGCACTACCTGTCATCATTGTATGTTGGTATATTACAGCAACTAGTCTACAATAATGTTAATTATCAATTAATATAAAATACAAAAATATTGTTTTGTAACAAATGTAAATGTGCATTGCTATGTAGCATTATGTTGAGTAGTGATGGTATGAGGACAGTAGGGCTGTTGAGGTATGGTAAATATAGCCTACTGTATCTAGGCCTACCCAGCAAAAATAACTGTTAATTTGAATTTCCATAAGGAATACATACGGTAATTTTGTCCCACTGAAGGAAAAGTAGGGTAATGATGAAATAAAACTCACTAAGTAAAAAGCTAGACACACATTCAGTTATTTCAACTAACTGTTTTAACTATTTTTAAAATAATTCCAGGAAAACCAGGAATATAACATACTTTTGTAACAGAAACAAACCTGGTCATTTCTTCCCCTACTACCTGCAGAGAGTCAGTATATCACTCCTCAGCAACATCAACAAACTACCTGTTGGCTGTCGGTGCTGTGCAGCCGCCAACAACAAAGAGGAGTGCTGCTGGAGGTCAATGGTCTTTATCTGATCTCTTCTCTCTATCATTTACTGACTCTTACCGAGCAAACCCTGGAGTTGTTGAGTCACTTTCTGTCATATTACAAGATCACATGCAATGATTTCGCGCGTTTATTCAACCCTCCCTACAGTGAACCACGAGCTCCTAATCATGCACAGACGTGCACCAACGTGCCTTTATAGCTCACATTTCTTGGCGGACTAAAGCTGCGTTCCGCCCCACCCCTTACAAACATCATCACCACCACTGTTACTAAATCAGGAAGCACCGAGATACGTCTTTTCTTCTTTCTTTTTTTTTTTTTTTTTGAAGGAGACACTTTGGTGATAACAGCAGCGGCGAACCATAAAGGGGAAAAAGGCGTTATTGTTGATGCTATTGACGACCACCTTCGACCACTGTTGAGAAGACTGACAGTTGGTTACATCCAGTACAAGGCTCAGCTGCGGATGCATGACACAGACTAACCGGAGAAGGGTATGTATGCAGTCAAAATGGTAAAATTCACGGAAACAAATACAAGGCGAGAGAGCCAGTGTAAAGACAGTTACACCCATATGTTGGAAACGCCATCGCATCTACTTTAATGCTTTTTCTCGACCGCAGGGTTCGCGGTGTAACGATAGTAAACATGTTATCCAAGTCGACTTGTTTACAGTGCGTAACAACCGTGTCGAAACCTGCAGGGGAAAACATGCTCGTAATGTCACTTTAATCTTAGCACAAGTCTACCTAAGTCAGTGTGACCATACGTAATAAGTGTTGTTTAATAAGCATCACTGCCACCAGACAGTGTCACTGCTTTGTCATGTGCTTTGACAGTGTGGCCCCCCCATCCTCACTACTACAACCGCTACCCTCCCTGCTGCCGTCTCTCTCGGTGAACCAATCACAGCGAACCTTTCTGGCAATTAAACGATTCTTAGCTTAGTGGAAATATAACACACAGTGCTGAAGGAGAAGTCGAGGCCTGAAGGCAGTCATTAGATGGTCCTCTTCAAATCGGCGTACATGTAGCAAGCCAAGCAGGACTTAAACCTAGTAACATTCACTGTTTTCTAATTGCTTCAAACTGTTTGCTACCGGAAGCATCGCTGTGTTTTGGTAGCAGAGGGCTGGTGGACTAACAGGGAGGCGAGTTATATAGCTTAAACTATATCAAATACACGTATTGGTAGGTGGGTCATATATATGCCGAATTGATCAGTATGTCAGATCGATTATTTTAATGTTATAAGTGACGTTACACGCGGTATGGTAACATGCACCAAAGCGTGTAACCTTTAAATTGTAAGATTTTAAATTGAGTTTTGCTCCGATACGATATATATTTAAGAAGGGGACGTGTTAGTGTCAGCTCCTACCCAACAGCACTGTTAGCAATGGTTTGGTGAAATGTTTGCAGAAAATGCGATGGTTATTCCAAGCACATTAAGTAATTTGCATAGGCTAATATTGTAAGACATAGAAATCAATCTTAGCTGTGACTACATTAATACATTCAATTATTGGAAAAATGGTCTCAGACTGTTGGACCCCACTGCAGACACAAACTTGTTGTCATGTGACATTTTAATGGTCAATACACTTGAACTGCATTAACTTTACCTTAACATTAGAAATTTATAATACAATTTATATTATGGTGTGGGTGTTAGGGACATGTTTAACGTCAACAGTTATTTTATACTCTTAAAATCAGTAATGTTGTTCCTCGTGGCTTATGGTTTTCATGTACTGTATTTTTTTGTCTTGACCAGTGGATAGCCTGGTCTGCTGGACTTCCGGAGACTGAAACATACACTGTAAAGCCTGGAGGAAATTAAGTATTACATCACTCTGCATCCTAAGCGAGGACCAGTCAGCAGCAAGCTCCACTTGTTTCTCGACTTAATACATAAAATCAGTGAAGGCCTGCAACAGAAACCTTGCAGGCTTTATAGGCTTATATGTAGAAAACAGCTGTTCACCTCTGCACTGTTTGTGAAAGAGCAGCAGCATGTAACAGCAGCAGAAGATGCTCCCATGATGATACATAGATTGGGGCTCAATACTGTAGCGACATGCTAACTTACTGTCGCTGCTGGGCATGCTCTATAAATAAAGTACTCACACATGAGTGGCTGCTTAGGTCTGAACTGCGCTGATTTATTAAAGGCGGCTGCACTGAACGTCCTCTAGTCAGGGAACACTCAGCGAGGTAACCTCTGTCTGATACAAATTACCTGTACGCTTAATCCTCACCTTTTTTCTGTCCTCCTTCAGATGATAAAGACGGAACACAAAGCAAATTATTTGCTGAAAAAGTGAGGAATCTCATTTTTGATTCATCATGTCAGTTGTGCCATGAAACTTGAATATCACACCAACACTGTCACAGCTTTGAAAGATAACATGATTGTACTAATGTTTTCTTTTTGGTACGGATTTGGTAAGGTGATAGAAATCTCTAATGGATTTAGTGAAATGTCAAGGATTAGACAGAAAAATCTTCAAGTGATATTTACATGCAGCAGAAAGGTGCCAGCGGTTGTTGCTTAACCTTCACATATTTTTAGGGGAAAGCTCTGTTTGCCTGCGACTACCTGCATTCCTTTGCATGTCACAGAGTTTGCCTCAGCTCAGCCAGGAGAGAAATTGCCAAGAGGTTTGCTCAGCTGTCACGTGACTCGCTTGGCATTCCTTTGCTTTTATGAACAAGACGGGCTTATAGCAGCAAGCCCCGAGTGTAGTTTTGCAGACAATTAAGTGAAAACTTAGGTGGTCTCTTACAATTTTCCATACAGAGTGACGTTTTTCTTTCCACTCGCTGAATGTGTGTGCGTGTGACTGCAGTCTGCTATCTTGTGTTTTGCAGGTGATCTGCTGAGGTTAGTCAACTTCCGTCCTTGCAGACTCACAAACTTCCTCTCTTTTTTCACTTCCTCTCCTGTCTGCGCCTGTTCTTGGCAGACAGGTTGAGTCACATTACCTGCTATATGAACACCCCTCCCACACACACACACACACACACACACACACACACACACATGCAACAACGCAATAGTTTTGTTATTTTTTTGCCCAAGGCGTGGCATGGCCAGACAGCTCATGGTGACAGAATCTCTTGTCATCTGCAGTGGCGTCACAGCCTGTGAAGTGTCAGCTCGTCATTAGCAATCACAGCAGATGGTATATTTTGCCTCCGGATCCAAGTCGTGAGGTTGTGGCTTGGATTATTAGACAGCAAACCCCAGCAGCGGTTGTGCATCTCCATTGAGAAGTTTTGAGCTTTCACTTCAGGCCCGAGGCTATATCACTAGAACACCCCAGGGAGTGACAGGAGGTGCCCCCGCATATCAAAGCAAAACAAATACATGCTTGAATTAACTATACACAGCATTGGACCCCCGGGAGTATTGTTTTCCCAGTAGTGTCTAATATCCCCTTCGAGCCATATGTGCTCTTTCAAGAGTAAAGTTCCATAGCCGGAGGAGACAGGCATCTGGAACCCACAGGCAAACATCGCTTCTGTGTGTGGTGGAGCTGTTATAGTTCAGCCAGACAGTCACGGCTCACTGGTCACTGAGCTGACAAAACTCTGACTTCTAGCTCGGTCCCATGTAGAACTGTCCTCGCTGATTCAAAGTGTTGAGCTCAAAGCAGCCTGGCATTGTGATCTAGGAGTGGTGATGGTCCAGATGATTATCTGATAATGGCATGATGAGTATAAATGCAGGGCTTTATCCTTTAGTTAACATTTTGCCATATGATTATGACAGTCAGAAGTGCTTAACAGCTGTGCCAACCACCAGAGCATTCCTCTGTTTGGTTTGCTCTGCCTCAAATGATATGATTCCAGAGAATCTGTGTAAAATCATTACTGGAGATCTGTTGTGATTTTTCCCCTTCTGTGAGGTTTGTGTGTTTTCATGCATTCTCCAAAACATATTCTGTCTCTCTCCTAAAAGAATTTTGTCTCTCTCCTCCAAAATATTGTTTGGTAGGTTCACGTTCTCTTGTTTGTTGTTCCTCTCACAGTATTTGTAAATGGGTTTGATATATGGGCAATATTCAGTGTTGCATGCTGGGACAGGCTCCAGCCTCTGATCAAAAAGGTTATGACTAAGGAGAGGAATGACGTCCCACACATATTGAATGTGTCTAAATTCATGCCTTAAAGTGATAGTTGGGCTTATTTGACGTGGGGTTGTGTCAGGTAGTTATCTATACTCTATATGTAGTTATCTATACTAGTGTATTACCTGCAATACATTCGGATCAGCACACTCCCAGTTTAGAGAAGCAGCCGAGAGCACCAGCACAGAAGCTGAGCAATGTGCTGCTGTGGACGCGGTCAGCCGCACTTTTAAAGAATGCCAGAAAAAATCAGTGTGAATGTTATATTTTTGATACTTTCACTGTTTTATCTTGCTGTCAAACAGCCCTTTTCTTTGGAAATACAGTTTGTAAACCATATTACTCTACACAAGCGCACCTAGGTTTAGCTTTTGTCTGCCACAAATAGCTGATCTGCAGAGTATTACAGTGCGCGCCATAGTTGCACTTCGTAATGCAGTTTGACGGCAAAATGAAGCAGTGAAAATATTCATAAATATTGATAATTTTTTTGAGGTAGATCCTGTCCACAGCAGTACATCACTCAGCTTGTGTGCCAGTTCTCCTGACTGCTTCTCTAAACGCCGACTATAGATAAGTACCTCTCACAACCCCACGTAAAAATAACCCGAACTATCACTTTAAGGCAGACAACCTGTGGTCACGCGTTGCCTGGCTCAGCTGTGAGGCAGAGGAACATGGTGTTGTACCTCATTCTTCTCCCTCAAGGAACTAAAGTTATAGTAATAACCTTCCATACTTTTCAGTCAATTCACTTGGTACAACAGATGTTGTGTGGGACATATATTTACGTCCTTCGGAGCAGCCACCGAGCCCAGAGGAAAAGCTTCTGATACTCTAGTGCATCATGGGTCCAGCAGAGAGGACAGAATGATCCACAGAGGGGGTCGTTACTTTCAGTACAGTAAAACCAGACAAATGTGTGGGGTGAAGACCAACCGGCTGCTGCACAAATATCACCCACATATACCCCTTTAAACAGTGCCCGTGATGTCAAACGCAACTTCACAGCCTGAGACAATGGGACACCTTTGCTGGTATAAGCTAGTCTAAGTAGATACGTTACACATGCACAGGGCACAGGGAATGCAACCTCTCTTGCTCCTCAGATGTAAAGGGTGGGGGGGGCAGAAGCTCTGGAACTCCAAAACCATAGAGCTGCACACTATGGAGATAACCATAGGTACATAAACCACATTTGGTCATAGTGTAACTTTCAGACCATTAGCAGCAAACTAGGTACAAGTTGGGTGCACAGAGAAAACATTGAGATCACACACTCGCTTTGCAAACACCAAGGCGAGAAGGAGCACGGTTCTGTGAAATAAATTTCACATCAACAAACTCATTGGGGTCAA